GACGTGACTTCTACGTGAAAGACTATTTGAGCGGGGGAAACACCATAGCTGAGTCTGTAGCAATTGCAAAACGGGTACAATCGGTTCTATCTTCTGCTAAATTTAACTTACGCAAATGGCGATCAAACCATCCTCAAATTCTAAATCAAATTATAAACAGTAACGAATCGTATAATACTCATACGTTGCATTTTTATGAGCAGGGTTTAAATTCATCTCAATCTAAAACTATACGTCTTAATTGGGCCTGCGATTCTGATTCCCTTACTTATACTATTAACATAAATCAACCACCAAAGTCACTAAACGTCACGTCCTCTCAGTTATCAGTCAGATCTTTGACCCATTAGGCCTCGTAGGTCCGTGCGTTGTCGAAGCGAAAATAGTCATGCAGCGTTTATGGCTACACAACTATAATTGGGACGACGAAGTATCTCTCGAGGTCAGAAACCTTTGGTCGACATTCCAAAATACAATAACATATTTAAATAATTTAAAGATTCCTCGTTGGGTTTTGCGTGAAGACTCTAGTACGCATGAAGTACACGTCTTCACCGATGCGTCCGAAAAAGCTTATGGCGCATGTGTGTACATTCGGTCATGCAGTAACAGTAAATGTATTGGTGTAAAACTTCTCATTTCTAAAAATCGTATAGCGCCCATCAAGCCGTCAACAATACCAAGGCTTGAACTGTGTGGAGCTTTGTTAGGTGCCAGGCTGTGTACTAAAGTTCAGGAAGCGCTAACTTTACCCATTCACCGATGTAGATGCTGGTGTGACTCAACCATAGTCATGGGTTGGCTCTCTACTCCAGCCAACCAATTAAAACCTTTTGTGAGAAATAGAGTCAACGAGATACAGGAGAATACTTGTGGTCATACCTGGAGCTACGTACCGTCGAAGGACAACCCGGTGGATTTTGTTTCCCGTGGTCTTAATGCTGACGTTATCAAGGACACACCTCTGTGGTGGTCCGGACCCTCTTTTCTGTTGCGTAATGAAAATGAGTGGCCCAAAATGCCAAACACAGAGAAACATGATTTGCCGGATGTAGTGACTCATTTCACATGTAGTGATAGCGACCATCATGTTGTTAGTAATCATTCACATTCAACCATATATTCATCTATCATTCATCGCTTATTAGAAAAATATTCTAGTTTACCAAAAATTCAAAGGGTGTTTGCATATGTACAAAGATTTATATATAATCTAAAAAAAAAAGATAAATTTTGTGGCGATCTTTCCGTAACAGAACTCCAAGATTCGTATAATGTAATAATACATTATTCACAACTAGAAATGTTTTCTGAAGAATTTCATCTTTTAAAATCTAAACAAAAATTGCCACGCAATAGTAGATTGCTTTCTTTAACTCCGTTCATTGACGAACATAACCTCATCCGCGTGGGCGGGAGGCTCGATAACTCCCCCCTACGATTTCAGTGTAAAACAACCCATAATAATATGTAGTAAGCACATACTTACTAAGCTTATATTTCAAATGAAACATTTAGAGTTACTACATGCCGGTTCTCAATTACTATTGTCAAATATAAGGCAGACTTATTGGCCTATAGGTGGTAGAAATCTTTCCATATATGTCGTGAATAAATGCCTTAAGTGTTTCAGACATAAGGCTCAAAGCGTTCAGCCTATAATGGGTCAACTAACTCAGTCAAGAACTCATCTTGAATTTCCATTTTTAAATTGTGATGTTGACTACGCTGGGCCAGTATTGGTGGCCGATCGCAGAGGTCGCGGCTGCAAACTTACAAAATCTTATATATGCATTTTTGTTTGCTCTGCAGTGAAAGCCGTACATTTGGAGCTCGTCACTGACCTCACCTCTGAGGCTTACATGGCCGCTATAAATCGTTTCGTGGCGCGTCGAGGCAAGCCTCAAAGCATTACGTCCGATAACGGGACAAATTTCGTAGGCACATCAAATGAAATGCGCATAGGTTCTTGCACTTATCGAGTGTTGCACCTGAAATAGCACAACAGGGTATGGAATTTATTTTCACGCCTGCTTACAGCCCACATTTTAATTCACTAGCTGAGGCTGCTGTTAAATCTTGCAAGCATCATTTAAAAAGACTCTTAAAGTTTACCCATTTTACCTTTGAGGAGATAGCTACTTGTCTTACGCACATAGAGGCGGTCTTGAATTCGCGGCCTCTTACTCCTCTCTCTTCAGACCCTAACGATTTTTCGGCACTTACTCCCGCTCATTTCCCGATTGGACGACCACTCTTATCTGTACCACATTCCCAGGTGACTGATGTCAACATCACACGACTGGATCGCTGGAGGAGAACACAGTATATCAGACAGCATTTCTGGAGCCGCTTTCATAATGAATACATCTCTCTGCTGCAGGCCAAATCCAAGTGGTTTCATTCCAGAGGTGAAGTGAAGCCCCCGGCTTCACTTCACCTCTGGAATGAAAGTCTTTAGTTCTTATCAAGGACAAAACAACACAGCTGCTCTGGTCCCTGGGCCGGGTCATGACGACCTATCCCGGCGTAGACGGAGTCACGCGAGTGGCTGAGTTGAAGACGAAGCGAGGTATCATTCGTCGTGCTGTTAACTGCATCTGCCCTCTACCAATTGAAGATTAAAGACGTCTTTTCAACCCGGGGAATATGTCGGCGCACGCCATTGCGCCTCGGCCAAAATGATGGACGCGTTGGAGCGCGAACCGCTGACCTCGCGGCAGCGCGAGCCCTTCTGTACCTCACTCAGCGGCGAGACGCGGTAGCAGACGGGCACTTTATTTTTTAATTTATAATATGTTTGTTTAGAGGTTTTACGGCATTGAACCTATTGTTATAAAGTCCACTCATTTTATTTCTAAAGTCCCGATAAGGCCTAAACAGAGGAAGTACGTGAAAGGTGTAGAATAGAAACGGACGAAAGGTTGTCGCACAACTTTAAGGAAAACTCCAAACTCTTCTGGAAAGAGGTTGAAAAGTCCCGGAGTGGTGCGACAACCTTAAGAATTAACAAAGTGCTTTTGAAAACCAATGACGTCCTCTCAGAAAAATCGGGCGTCATGCAGCGATGGAGTTAATTTTATAGAGAAATGTATGCATGTCATGATCTTAGTGAAGGATCCGGGGGTGACGCCGTGACTGGCACGCCAGAAATGGACCTCGATGACACTGAAATCATCAGCATGAAAGAGATTGAACGTGCGATTCACAGTTTGAAATGTGGTAAGGCTGCGGGACTAGACAGAGTTACTGCTGAAATGGTCAAGTACGGTGGGCCTCGCGTCTGGGACAGCTTTCATCTGCTGTGCAATTTGTGCTGGCGGTCGGGAAGTGTCCAGGATGATTGGCGATCCGCGGTCATTGCGCATTTATATAAAGGTAAAGGTTCATATTTTGACTGCGGGTGCGATCGGGCGATCATCTTGACCAGTTCAGCAAGTAAAGTTTACTCGAAGGTTTTGACACGTAGGATGCAAGAGAAATCGGAAAGATTTTTATGGGAGGCACAATGCGGATTTATACCTGGAAGAGGATGCACGGATCAAATGTTTTCTCTCCACCTGATCACGGAGAAGCTTCTGAGTGTTGACTAGAAGATTTTCTGTGATTTTGTGGATCTGGAGAAAGCATTTGGTAAGGTTATAAGGAAGAAAATGTGGGAACTGTTGCCGGAATATGGTGTGGATGGTCGATTGTTAAGGGCTGTACAGTCACTTTACTATGACTGTAAAGCCTATGTGCGGGTAGGGCATGACTTGTCACCCATGTTTAGCGTCCAAACGGGTGTAAAACAGGGTTGTGTTATGTCTTCCTGGCTGTTCATACTGCATCTCGACAGCTGTTTACAGAAGCTGAAAAATAGCTGCTTGGGTGTGAAATTGGGTGACATTAAAGTTAATTGTCTGCTGTATGCTGATAATGCAGTGCTTATTGCACCATCAGAAGCAGAACTGCAGGCATTAGTCACGTGTATGAAAGAGGAATGTGAAATTAAAGATCTCCATATGAATGCTAATAAAACTAAGGTTCTGGTATTTGAAAAGGACGAAGAGAGAACGAAATGTGAAATATGGGTAAATCAGGAATGTCTAGAACAGGTAAATGAAATTGTATACTTGGAGAGTGCTTTCAGCCGGGGTGGAAGATGTGATTTAGATGTGGACAGGCGTGTCGCTGCCGGGAACAAAGTCAAGGGTGCCCTGAATGCGTTAATAACATACGTCACATGAATTAATTAAACTGGTCTAATTATAATAAACACCCTTATAAAGAAGAAATAATAACGTAAATAAAAATTTAAAATGTATGACCTAGGCATTGAAATACCATATATCACATAAATTAATAAAAATAGCCTAATTATAATAAATATTGTTACAAAGAGATTAAAAAAACGTAAATAAAATTTAAAAATATATGTCTCAGACATTAAAATATTATTCGTCATATAAATGGAGAAAACTAGCCTAGTTATGATAAACACCGTTACAAAGAAACTATAATAACATAAATAAATATTTGAAAGACGCGATTTAGCCGTTAAAATACTAATACATCACGTAAATTATAGCTTAGTTATAATGATCTCCGTTACAAGGAAACAATAAAAATAAATATAAATATTAAATGTTTGTGACAAGAAAAGCCCTTGTGAATTATGTAATAAGAATAATTAGCTTTACCAATTTGTAATTTAAGAAAAAGACTTTCCAATATCAGTTTCACAACGAATACGAAAAACCTTTTCTTTCTTATTTCTCAGACATGCAGGTTTCCTCACGATGTTTTCCTTCACCGCCGAGCACGTGGTAAATCAGCACCTAAAATTGCAATTAACAATTTCATTAGTGCCGGCGGGGATCGAACCCGGTTTGCTCACGTATTGTGAAATTTACAGCGAGCGCTAACCATTTGAGCTACCACGGCCCATTGCGTGTCCATACGTATCTCCAGCCTTTGTGTCGTGCTTCTTCACGCCATTTGTGAAAAAGCTGCCTGTTCTACCAGTTCAACGGCTCGTTTATATAGAAGCGTCGCGACTGCACTGTGTTCACTATCCCTGCAGTATCCACTCCAGGCCGACTACGAGCAGCGCGGATCAACTGGTCGCGAAGAGTTCTGCGTGCTAGCCGGACGACGAGAGGCTGAGGGCGTGGAACAGCGCCTTCGCCGTTGATAACATCGCCGCTACGTCGCTTGCCCTTACGCCCTGCACTAACTATATCGCACTCATCCAGGGAAATGCCCACCTTTTGAGCTATTATCGTAATTAGGTATATTGGATTCTCATTGGCAAGTTCGTCTAGACCTGTAATTTCGAGGTCATTTAAGAATGATGTTTGGTCACGATAATTGAGACGCCTCTCAATTTTCACCTGAATGTCGTCGCATTTACTGGCTGAAATTTTGGCTTCCGCTTCAGCTATGCGCGTGACAATGTTATTGACCTTTTCTTTCATTGTATTTAAGCGGTTTTTTTTATAGAAGAGGGGGGCAAACAAACATTCGGCTCACCTGATGTTAAGTGACTACCGCCGCTTATGATCAACTGCCACACCAGGGGAATTGCAGGTGCATTGCCGGTCCTTTAGAAAGGATTAAGCTCTTTTATTGGAGGTCGCCAGGTCGTATCGGTCCGGAAAAATCGCCGGTGGTAAAATCAGTAACAGTGGAGTTCAATTTTAAAACTTTCTGCCTAAAACTAGTCATTTGCTGCCTACATCTTGTCATTTCCTGGACTAAAGTAGACAATTGTGTGCTAGTTAGTTTTATTTCTTGTGCCACATTTATATCCATGTTTTTCGTAGGTAAATCAAGGAGTGGATCACCAAAGTCAGCATCGACACTCCCGGAGCTACTCTATTGTGGAGTTATGTTTTTGTTTGATTTATTTTTGCAACTCTTACAATGCCATCTAGCGGGAAGGCGAGCGTCCGATTTAATATTGACACATTGACGGTGAAAAATTAATCCACACAAACTACACTTAACGCCATCTGACGGAGTATATTTTCCACAGGTGCTGCACTTATTGGCAATGTTAGAACAGATGTTATCTATCTATGATAAATAGCAACAGAGTTCAACAAGCAATCGCTAGATGGCAAAATAAATATGAAATAATTATTAATTTTATTGTTTTTTATTTTTATTGTTTTTCCTTTTATAAAATATATTTTAGTCACTATATCATCAACACTACACTAATTATCTTAATTTACACTGCACACAAATAAAAAAAACAGATGATGATACAACAGCTGATAATAGCAAAGTGGAGAAATCAATACGTTAAACAAATAATTACAATTTCGTTAAAGACACACAACTGTACTGTTCGCAATATAATAAAACAGTTTAAAAACGGAAATTTTTGAGCAGATATTGTCACATTATTATTATTTGTTGAACAAATAAATAATGACATCTAAATTGTTTTAAGAAGTTTAATAATTTTACTAATAAACTATACTAATATACATACTTAAAAAAACTATACTAAAATACAAAACTGCTAAAACTATGCTAATACTAAATCGATATATATGAAGGAAATAAAATAAAATAAAATTAGAAGGTCGCGGTTTCGACGTCTTTCAGAATCGGAAGGAAAAGTGAATACCACGTCTGGCGGCGAGTCCGGCGGGAGTGGTAGGGGATAAGTGTCCTTTTCCAACCGATTCCACTCGTGCGAGTTTAATTTGTATGAATTTATTTCGTATATTTGATTATAACCTCCCATCCTTAATATTTGGGAAAATAATAATATGTATTCACAGCTCCAGCAAAGTTCCCTGGAACACACATTCAAAATCCTTAATTTACCTTGCAACCAAGGTTGAAAACGTATACGTCCACCGCCAGAATTAACTGGGAGAGTGAAACTAATAAATTTGGTACGGCGGTACATGCTACTAGCAAAAGAGGCAAAAATTAAAGTTACATCTACTAAATACAAAGAAAGGACATAAGAATTACCTGACAAAATAACTAGCATATGACATAAATTTTATTTACACACTAAGTATGAATTGTTTATATACATTCTTTAAAAAATCAAACTAATGTAATTATTATACTAGTTATATTAAAAATTTGCTCACACTTACCCAATATAAGGGGAAGAACATAAATATTTAAATAATTATCAAACTTATTAGAAGCAATTAGATATTATTTGCCTAACGTATGTGTTTGGAATGATTAAAAAAATGCATTTACAGAAATGCATTTAGGCGAGTTGTACCTTCACTTCATCATATAAGTAATAATCTACACTTACATTTTGTTGTAATAATATTTGAAAGTGAATAAAAGGAAATTAAGAAAATATCTTGTAAATACGAACCATACCTTTACCTTTACCAATTTCAGTGCTACAATGTTCGTATGCTCAAAGGTCTTACTGAAATAGCCGATTATCAGATTTTATTATTGACGTCTGTTACTTAGCTTATCAGGAGGTAGGACTCCTCTACTGGATTGGAGTCCGTCTGGGAAGGTATCATCGCTCTTACTTATTTCCCGCGCCATATAGCGCTGCTGTGTATAAGTCTGGAGGATATAGAAAGCCAGTATAATACAAGCTTTGGGACATAAGATGTTACGGATTAATTTTTGATGCAGAAAGAAAATACTTGAAAGTATCTCGAGTCCTGCTTTTTGGTCTTGGTATCTGAATGTGGACGTACTTGGAAGCTCTGGCACTCGATTTTGCAAGCACGATCCATGTCTAATGCCTTAGATAACGGTATCTACGTAACAAAATATAATCAGTATTTCGATTCGATCAGATTTTCGGTAACATTTAGTAACACACTACAAAAAAACCAGTTAAATTGAGTAACTACTCCTATTTTGATTTGAGTAACAAAAATAAATCAGTGCAGTTAAGTTGTTTGTATCAATTTAAGAAAGAATTTTTACCTTGAAAATTAATTTAGTAATCTAAAGGAAACAATTAGGGTTAAAAAAATCGTTAGACTAAAGTTAGAGCTATTGCCTTAACAAGTCCTATGTTGCCAAACGTACTACAGAGAAAAGCACTTTAAAAGTCCTATGTTGCAAACGTACTACAGAGAAAAGCACTTTAAAAGTCCTATGTTTCCAAACGTACTACAGAGAAAAGCACTTTAAAAGTCCCATATTGCCAAACGTACTACAGAGAAAAGCACTTTAAAGGTCCTATGTTGCCAAACGTACTACAGAGAAAAGCACTTTAAAAGTCCTATTTTGCCAAATGTACTACAGAGAAAAGCACTTTAAAAGTCCTATGTTGCCAAACGTACTACAAAGAAAAGCACTTTAAAAGTCCTATGTTGCCAAAGGCACTACAGAGAAAAGCACTTTAAAAGTCCTATGTTGCCAAACGTACTACAGAGTGTAGGTGTGCTGCGCACACACATACACGCATGTATACTTTGCAATATTGTATCCATATACTTAGTGAATAAGATTTTTCAGTTAGTCACTAGTCGCCCGCCAACTGTATTGCACGTTCCTCTGTAATAAATATTAGCAAAAGATTTCTTCTTTTATTATGTCACCAATAGGCACCCCTTGGAATCAGCTCCTAAACTGGTGACCCCGACGTAATAAACGTGGCCGACGTGATGAACGTGTCCGACGTGATAAACATGATCAACGTGATGAAAGTGACCGACGTGGTCGATGTGATGTTAACTCAGTAGTGGGCAATATTCGCGTGCTGTGTCAGAGTCGTCTTCTGACACAAAAGCAAGCCGTACTCACTGTGTCTGACTCCAAGGACCTGGACAACCTATCAGCAGTCGCAGATAACATCATGGAGGCTGTGCGGCCTTCCTATGCCGCCACCGCTACCTATGCCACGCCAGCGCCAACATCTACGGCCGCCCTTGACTTGGTCCTGTTGAGGGCTGAGGTGGCTAAAATAAAGGCCACCACCGTAGACCAGATCGATCAGCAGAGGTCGCGGTCTCGCGCCCCTGATCGTAACCGGCGTCGTTCGCAGTCCAGGCGCCGTAGCGGTTCCCGCCGGCCCCGGAAGGAGAACTACTTATGATTCTACCATTACTGGTTCCGAGAAAAGGCCAACAGGTATACGAAGCCTTGCGCGTGGAAACCAACACAGCCGGAAAACTGAGCGGCGACGTACAGTCTGAGGATCTTCAGGTCTGTACCATTTTTCCATTCAATCGTTTGTGTGTGTCAGACAGTAACTCTGGGCTTAGATTATTAGTCGACACCTGTGCCAATGTGTCTGTTTTACCAGCCGTGAGAAGAGTTCGTGTAAATCAGTGTAGTGAATATAAATTATACGCAGCTAACGGTAGCGAAATTGCAACTTGCGGTACCAAGACACTAATGTTAAACTTAAACTTACTTACGTACTCGTACTTAGCGTACCACAAATTATTAGTTGATTTAAACGCGCGTAAATTAATAGATAAAACTACAAAATTGAATGTTTCGGCATCTGTTGTCAATGTATCTATACCTAGTATTAAAACTATTGATTTAAATCATCCGTATCAGGATTTTCTGTTAAAGTACCCGTACATTACTAAGCCAGCGTCATTCCGAGAAACTGCGAAACACGATGTCGTCCACTATATCGAGACCTCTGGCCCGCCCGTGCATGCGAAAGCGCGCCTGTTGCCACCTGACAGTTATAAAAAAGTTAAAGAAGAATTTCGCATTATGCAGGAACTGGGCATCTGTCGTCCTTCAAAGAGCGCGTGGGCTAGTCCACTCCATGTAGTTCCTAAAAAGAATGGAGATATAAGACCTTATGGAGACAGATTCCCGATTCCTCGCTTGAGCGATTTTACTTTTATTCTTCCGGATAAAAAGATTTCAAAATTAGACATCAATAGAAGTTATCATTTTATACCTGTCGCACCAGGTGACGTGGAGAAAACCGCTATCATAACACCATTCGGACTTTTCGAGTTTCCTCGAATGACTTTCGGTTTGCTTGGAGCAGCACAAACCTTCCAGCGCTTTATGAACTCTATTTTACAAGGGCTTGATTTTGTCTTTTGTTATTTAGACGATTTACTTATAGCTAGTGACAACGAACCTCAACACAGGCAACATTTAGAGATTATTTTTAAATGGCTTAATAAATATGGAATTTCAATTAATTTGGCAAAATGTCCTTTCGGACAAGCTAAACTAGAATTTTTGAGACAAGAAATTAGTACCGACGGCGTCAGGCCGTTGCAAGATAAGGTTCAGGCAATTGTGGAATTTCCAAAGCCGAAAACTCTCGCAGAGCTAAGACGTTTTCTCGGTATGGTCAATTTTTATCGAGCTCATCTTCCCAATGGTACTTTATATCTAACAGAATTAAATAAATATTTAAAAAGCTCAAAGAAAAATGATAAGACTCCCATCGTCTGGACGGATAGTGCGAACGAAGCATTTACGCAATGTAAGGCAGGTCTCACACAGGCCGCTACATTGACGTACCCTA